TGTCCTGTGAGTTGTTGTCTTCAGACGGAGTGAGAACAGTCCTTGGAGTAGACATCCTGGGCTATAAACCCAGCTCTGCTACTCAACATGCGTGGCACCTGTGTGGTCAGTTTCCTGTAATGCCAAACATACCCCACCTGCCCAGCAGTGTTGCCCAAAGTAGGTTTTTTAATGAGGCTATATGACTGTTGCCCTTGAGCAGCAGATACTTGGAACAGAAGGAACGAATATTGGTCCTAGATGAGCCCATTCCAGCCTCACCATAGGCTTGTCTGCCAGGCTCTGCAGCTCCCTCCCTGGCAACCTCAGGGCAGCCCTGGATCTCCAGCGCACATGTCCCCAGCCTCACTCCTGAGAACCACCTGGACGTTCATGGTATTGCTGCCTCCAAGGCCAGTGACTGACATTTGTCCCTGTACAGTCTTGGGGTGGAGGAAGGTGGAGGGTAGGATATAGAAAGAGAAAACAAAAACACAGTCGAAAACTTTAAATGCACACCTTTGCCAGGTGTAAGAATTGTGTTGCTGGGAGGAAGGAGGGGAGTTCACCAGCCAGAGACTGGGCCCCCACACCCCAATTTCTTAGAATATCCTTAAAGATTCTCTTTTATATGAAAATCCTGCAAAGACCCCCCAACCCCTGCAGCTTCCAAGAATGGTTTTAAGATCCGCAGAGAGGGGAGATAAGCTCACTTCAAAATGCAGTTATGCTTGGAAAGAGATTCAGATGCGTGTGAGATGTCTAACTTTTAGAAGAGGTGACTGGATGTTCTGTTGACTGTGGAGGAGCCAATTTCATCCTCAGGGCCCTGGTGACCCCACACTCCTGGATCATCCCTCCAGGAGCCCTCAAATCCAGGCTGTGGCCTGGATTTAGCCAACAGGCAATAGTGGTCCCCTCACAATGGCACCCCACTCCAGTACTCTTGCCTGGAAAATCCCACAGATGGAGGAGCCTGGTAGGCTGCAGTCCATGGGGTCGCTAAGAGTCAGACATGACTGAATGACTTTACTTTCATGTATTGGAGAAGGAAATGGCAACCCAATCCAGTATTCTTGCCTGGAGAATCCCAGGAACGGGGGAGCCTGGTGGACTGCCGTCTATGGGATCGCACAGAGTCGGACACGACTGAAGTGACTTAGCAGTAGCCGCAGCTTAGATAGGCGAAACTGGAAGGAGTAGCTTGGGATATGCACATGTAGTGCATACACATGCAGACACACATATATACACCCACATATACACACACACACACACACACACCTCCAGAACTGCATGAACATGTCTTACACACACACACACACACGCCTCCAGGACTGCATGCATGTCTTACACACACACACACACACACACACACACACACACACACACACACGGGTGCCTCCAGTTCTGCTGCAGCCATCCTGTGTCAGGGTTGGACACACTCGCTTGTCAAGGTGGGAGGTGCACAGACCACCTCCTGGCCTTGGCTTCAGGCCTGCTCCAGGCCCCTCTGTTGGACTCAGCCCCTCTCTCTGAGGCCTGGGGGTGGGGTTGGGGGGTCCCAGCACTTTTCTGGTCTCTGTTCTCCCTGCTTGTAATGGAACCAGATGAGGTCTCCAACCACAGGAGCCTTCCCATTCCATCCAAATATGTCATCCTGCTAGTTTCAGAGCGTCTATTCAGGTTCTTTCTCGTCCAAGCTCCTTTAACCCAGGCTCCTTCCCTGTTCTCCCCCAGATTATCCCTTCAGGAGCTCTTGAAGGCAGGCTGTGGCCCTCTGCTGGCCCCCTTGGCTGGAGAGGAACACTGCTTCCTCTGGGAGCTTCAGGAGCTACGTCTCAGGCTGTGTTGGTTTGTGGCAGATACGCCCTCTCGGCAAGAAGAAACCCCATCTTCTGCCTCCCCACCACCATGACACAGAAAGCTAACAGCCCTTGAACTCCAAACATTGGCTGAGCCCCTACAGACCTAAGTCTTGTTCCTGAAAGGACAAGGAAGTGGGGCTTTTCACTTCAGCCTGGCTGGGAGCTTGAGCTGTGTTTCCCATAACCCAGGCAGCTGAGCCCAGTGGGGACTGGTAGGATAGAATTTCTTCAATAATTGCATTAGCAGTGGTTTTGAGCGGTACCTACTAAGTAATCCATCTAAACCTATGTCAAAATGCTTAGATGAGCCACCTCCTCTCATTTAAACCTTGAAACAACCTCATGTTGGTGTTTTTCACACACACACACACAAAAAACACTCAAAGTTGTTAAATCACTTGCCAAAGCCTACAAGGCTAGTGAGTAGTACGTGTCTGGGAGCTGATAACACCTCTCAAGTTTACCTCACTGTCTCTTCTCTACACAAACTCATCAGATACTCCCAGAAACCTTGTGAAATCAAGACCTCAAATTATTTCCACCTGAGAAACAAAGAAATTGAGGCACTGAGGTGTTTGGGGTTTGTATGTGTTTGTGGTGTTTGTTTTCAAGCCCAAGCTGACTGAAGCATAGGCAGGCCTTAATCTAGAGCAGTGATGCTGGTGCTACAAAGGAGACAGATCAATGCAACCCTACTCAGCCTCCATGGGAATACACCCTCACAGAGCCAAGACCGCCCCCTGCTTCCCCACCTGCCCTGGGTTCACTGTCTAGTTTGGCCTCTGGCACATAGCTGCCTGTTTGGGGAAGTGGCTGAACCAATAGGTTGAGCCCATCAAGATGATCTGCCCTTCTCCAGGAGGTGGGTCAACCCAGCAGTCAGGCAGTGAGCCATCTGGACCCCAAAGCCCCACCATAGGCTTGTCTGCCAGGCTCTGCAGCTCCCTCCCTGGCAACCTCAGGGCAGCCCTGGATCTCCAGCGCACATGTCCCCATCCGTACACAAGGATGCCATTCAAACCACTGCTTTCTCACAGGACGGGCTATCTCCAAAGGCAAAGGTGGACTGCAGGGCCACCTCGCTCAGCCTTCCTGTGGAAGCTGTGCTCTCGCAGGCCACAGGCTCCTGGAGGACATGTCACCCATCCCCCTGCCCACCCCTCACCCCAGAACTAGTCCACACATCCCAGGTGCTCAGGCCACCCTTACCACTCAACAGCCTGGCAGCACAGGCACACCCCAGCCCTGAGTAGTCGCTCATTACGCCGCCAGCCCACCTCCCTGGAGAACTTCTTTAAAACATGTTTTCCTTACAAAAACCTTCTTGGAAGTTATTCTAATAATAAGATACAGTGGGGTTCTTAATAGCACTTCTAAGAATCAACACCCTGTAACCAAAATGTTCGTCCACAGGAGTGTAATAGGGGTGATTGGCAGCCTTTCCCTTGTCCATCTCCCCTACAGGGGGCTGGTGGGGGGGGGATCCCCTCATGGCTTTACCACCATGTCGTCCTCTTCAGAGGCCCCAGTTGGTTCGTGGTAGGGTCTTGCCTCCCTCTGCCTGGGGTGATGGGAATGGGGTGACAGGTGGAGCAGACAGAAAAGGAAACCAGATCCTCAGTGCTGGCATCACTGAGTCACTCAGATCAAACCCTGAAACTCACCCCTCCTCTGGACTTTCCAGGTTCAGGAGCCAAAACCTCCCTTCATTGTTTCGGTCAGTTTGAATTGGGTTTTCTGTTACCTGTGACTGTAAACACAATCCCCATTCTAAAACTAGGTTCATTCACTCACGGCAGTCCTGCAGTGGAGTGTGAAAATGCGTTGTGGATGGGTATTCGGCCACAGAGAAATATTTCCGAGATACAGTAAGTAGAATTAATTGCAAAACACAATTCTCATTTGTGTGGAAAAGATACTTGAATGTGCATGCACATTTCCGAAGAGGGTATTTCGTGGTAGATGTCACTGGGGAACAGAACACATACTTGTTACTTTACACTCTATGCTTGGACTGTCTCGACTTATACTGAAAAAGAGATTAGTTTAAAAGTCATTTGAGGTAATAAAATTAGAGTCTTAGGTGATAATTTAATTTGGTAGTTATTAAACCATGCTTTTGAAGCCCCTGCTGACATACAAAACGCAGAGCATGGCAAGAAAACAGAGGAAGAGAGAACTCTCCCAGACCTGTGTGAGGCAGACTTCCTCCTTCTCCAAAGCTGGAATCTCTAAAACTGGCAAGTTCACCAGTACAGTCCATATGAATCCCAAAGTTGTATCACAGTTGCTGTTTTATAGTGCCCACATCAGGCTGTCCTGAGGTGCCCTGGAGACCCTAAAAGCATTCTGAGAATGAATATATCTTTACTGTAGTCTTTGAGGGCGTCCCTGATGGTAAAGAATCCACCTGCAGTGCAGGAGACCTGGGTTTGATCCCTGGGTTGGGAAGATCCCCTGGAGAAAAGAATGGCTACCCACTCCAGTATTCTTGCCTGGAGAACCCCACGGACAGAGGATGCTGGTGGGCTACAGTCCATAGGGTCACAAAGAGTCAGACAGAATTGAGCGACTAACACTTGGGTTTCCCTGGTGGCTCAGATTGTAAAGAATCTTGCAATGCAGGAGACCTGGGTTTGATCTGAGGATAAACCAGGTCTTGAGTTTACAGGAGCTAAAAGTGTACACTTCTCTGCATCTTTGGAGTGAGCACCCAGATGAAGGAGAACGGTGCTGCAGGAGGTCCAGTCTGCCCTGGAAGGCTGGGCAGCATCCTCTTGGATGGCAGACACGCACATGCAAGGGCCTGTACCAAGGTGGGTCCCCGGGGACAGGTTACCACAGTTTGGGGGCAGACAGCCTACAAACCCTGTGGATGACCCTAGAGCTAGAAAACACCCACCCAAGGTCATACAGCTACTTCACTCACCCAGGACACCTGAGGGCACTGGACCCTGACGTGGCCTGGCTGAGCTCCGGACACCTGGGCAGAAGGATGTCCTGGGATCAGTGCGCTATCTCCTCCCCCTTTTTGCAGTCCACACTCTTGAGCTTGCTGGCCAAGAGGCAATTGGGTGGTCCCCACTGCTGAGACTCAATCCCTCCTCCACTGCCTCTGACCCAGCCTCCTGTTCTGAGGCGCTCCCCCCCTAGGTCCCTGAGATTGCAGTGGCCTACACTCCCAGACATGCCCATTACTGCTCTAGTAGCAGCCCCAAGTAGTATCTCTGGGAGAGAAAGCTATACCTGATTCCTTACTGCCCATCAGGCTTGCTCTGGTCATGGAGGGGAGTGAGGCTGCTGCTCATGAAGGTAAGTTAGCTGCCCAGATGGTAGCTCTGGTCATGAAGGGAAGTGAGCCTCTTGCTCAAAACCAGGGCCTCTAGCCCAGAGTGGGACCAAGGCCCTTCAGGATGATGTCATGCTCTTCCAAAGGCCCACCAAAGCCAACCAGGCATCCAGATCCAGGTACAGAGCTGGGGATCTTCACTTTCTCCAGATGGTTGTCAACCTGCCACAGAGCTCAGTAACTGGATCGTCAGGAAACTGGTACTTTTCACAGCCTTGCCCTTGGTGCTGGTTTTGCTCAGCAGGCACCAATCAGTGGTTCAGAAGCAAGGCTCACAGGCACCAAATCTCCTATTTTAATTGCAGCTGCAGGTTCAGGGGCAAGGCTCCCAGAGTTTCAATCCACCTCTTCCAAATCTCAACTGGTAACTTACCTTTCTCGTGTTTTGGACACAAAAATGGCTCCTCCAGAGCTGTCCTGGTGACTGAATCAGTTTTTAACTGTTAAGTACTCTTGAGTACTTCCTTTGTTCCAGGAAGTTCTGGATCCTTTCATTTTTATTGTTATTCATGTGGGGAAACCTAGTGCAACAGCACAGATGGCTTTCCTGCCCCTTCCACAGCCCTGCCCTGGGGTCAAGGGAGCCCAAGGAGACGGGTGAGTGCCGGCAGGTGCAGCTAGAGGTGGGACAAGGGTGGGCAGGAGAGGGTCGGGCACCTGGGAGCCTGGGCGGCAGAAACAGAGGACTTTGAGGATGGGCTGGTCCAGGGCGTCAGGAGCCACAGGGGCCAAGAGAGAGGCACTGAGTCTGGTGATTGGGCTGAGCGGCTTTCAGGCAAGTGAGAAAAGCAGTGGGTAGTGGTGGGAGGTGGACAGAGCCAGACAAGCAGCTTCCTGGGAAGGAAAGCTGGAGCCGGGCAGCACAGAGGTGGGTAGGCAGGCTTTCTGAGAGGTGGATATGTGGTATGGGACAAGAAGGAGAGCAAGTGGGAAAGATAATAGCGTGGCAGTTCCAGGAGGAGAAGGTGGACAGGAGAGTCACAGGAAGGATAAGCAAAGACCCTGAAACTTTCAAGCAAGAGTGTATGGGGGTGGGGGGGGCGGGGCAGGAGGGGACATGCAGAGCCACAGGCTGGCCTCTGCCTCAGTCTGAGAGGACTGGGAGTGCCTGGGGACTCAGAGGAGGCTGGGCAGGGCGTGACCGGGAGGGCTGCACTGTGGCTCTGTGGAGAGAGGCCAGAGTGTTGGAGATGCCACGTCAGCACCCCTTGGCCTGCATTTCTTTTCTATCCTCAACACAACTCAGAGTCAGAGGAGATGGCTGAAAGTGGTCAGCAAATTCTGTAAAATAATTAAGAAACAAACCCAACTCTCAAAAAGTCACAGGTAGGTAGACTTCACCCTGAACTGGGCTGGGACCTGTGAAGATATTTGCAAGGGGTCGCCAGGTCCACCTGAATAGATGGACGGCCGAGCTGTCGAGGAGCAGCCATGGTGCACACACCAGCAGTGAGAGCCTGCAGACACTGGTCCCCCCAGGGTGGGCTGGATCAGACGCACCTGGCGAGGTGGGCACAGCAGCTGACCCTCTCCACAGGTGGGCCAGCAGGTCTAGGTCACACAGTCGCAGATTCCAGCCCAGTGTTCCCAGGCTCTTTTGCTTGGACCTTACCACCTGGGGCTGTATGCTTATGACCTAAAATAACATTTCCTCTGGGCCTACAAAGTCCCTGCACTTACAGCTGAGCAAGCCAGCTTGCTCTATCATAACCTCCAAGCAATCACTGAAAGTGGCACGTGGAATCTTAAAAAAAAAAATCACCCAATGAAATTTATTTCAGATTGTGTCAACCGGCTACCTTCCTGTGGTGCTTACCCACACCCAATCCCACTGGTTCCCTTGGCAACCAAGTTTACCACCGAGGTGCTTAATGCCATCTTGATATGACCCCAAACAAAAACAATCAAAGCAACAGCATTAATATAAAGATATATTCCATAAAAGAGTTTGGCAGTCAAAGAAAAGCATCACACTTCCTAAAAACACAAGCATTCTTCTTCCCCTAATCTACAGAGAAAATTGTAAAAAACAACAAAACCAACATCATCAACAAACACCCACCAGTATACACCACGCTAGCATGTACACTTCGGCAAGTAAGTAAAGGTAGTGCTCCATCCCTGAACGAGGACAGAACTGGTAGAACAAGATCCAGAGAGGCATTGATAGAGTGTAGCCCAGCCAAGACACCCAGCTTCTCCCAGGAAGTTATTCAGGACATCAGACAGACTTCATTTCCAAAAGCAAGCCCCCAGTAAAAGCAAGCCCCTGACCCAAAGGGTGGACACAATGACCACAGATATCCCCTTCAGGGGTTGGAGGGTCACCACGAAAGTCTTCAATGAAATATATGAGCCTCTATCCAGCTGCAGGCTGGGGTCCATGGCTCAGCCCAGGGGCTGGCTACAGGGCTTCTCTGTCCAAGGAGAGGCAAAAAAACGTCAGGCCGGCCAGCCGGCCCTTAGCATGCAGCCTGGAGAGGAGCCCTGGCCAAAGGTCTCTGGCTGGCTATCTCTGGCTAGGGTTCCCTGGCCTTGCAGTAGCGGAGGGTCAGGATTCAAGTTCTGGGTAACAGTTTCAGTAGCACCAAGACCAGGAGTCAGTGAGGCCAAGTGGGGAGGGGAGTGATGGTATGTGTGTTGGGGGCACGGAGACGAAGAGGGAGTATGTGAGTGCAGGTGATGAGGGATGATAAGCTGATGGAGCTGGTTCGTGAGACACTCAAGGGAACTCAGAGGGCTGGCGTCAGTCCCAGACACCGCGTAAGGCTGTTGAGAGGAGAATGCCAGAGGAAATGAAGACGTGGTGTGAGAACATTCTTACCCCTATAAATAAACTATTTACACACTTTAGGAAAAGGAGAGCTGACGCTCAAGAGGAAAGCCACGCCCACCGCCCCCCACCCCCACCCCCCGTGCCATCAGGGCATAATGCTGTTAGGCTGGAGCAGTTCCCGTCCTGGGGGGCGGTGGGGGGGGACAGGGGACGAGGCACTCCCGTGGCACCAGCCACGTGCTGGCTCAGGCTTACTTCACTTGGATGTGGCTGAGGATCCTGCCCACACCCCTGACGTGTGCAGACACCGCAGGCCCCACGGGCACTTGGAGGCCCACAGAAGATGGGGCTGCCTCCGAGGCCAGCACCAACCACACGTGCGATGGAGGCCTGGGTGCAGCCACCAGAGCCGCTGGTCCCTCAGTCACCTCCCCCACTTAAAGTTGGGGCCTCTGACTCCGGGCGGACCCCCATGGGGGTGTCAGTCACAAGTCTGTGTGGGCGACAGGGGGCCCCTCAGTCTTCGGCATCGGCAAGCAGAAACAGGCCACATCACGCGGATGCTGAAGGCGGGGTGCTGGCTCTGGCCAGGTGCTTCTGCTTCTCTGCCTGTGGACATGACGCTAATGGTGGCGAAGGGCTGCCGCCCCCACGGTGTGGCTCAGCTCTGCTCGCCTGCCTCCGGCTCCTCAAAAGTGGTGGCCTGCCTTCACCGCCTCAATGTCCGAGATCAGGGTCCTCGCCAGGAAGATGCCAAATATCTGGAAACAAAAGGCAGCAGAGGCAGTAGCCGTCAGCATCGGGGCCCAGAGGGCATGGTGCAGAGGGTAGCCCACACTGCCCATCACCCCCACACCTGCCCGTGGCTGAGGACAGAGAGCAGCACATGGGCACCTGCCGAAGGAGACCAACCCACAGTAACGACAAAGAAGCCCAGGGTCTGCTTTGCCAGGTCCCAAGAGCCTGGAAGAGGCGAACAGCAGCACCGCAGAAGCACAAGGGATGCTCTGGCCTGCCCGTAACATGACCCTGCATGTCCCAGACTGCAAACCACAACACGCTTTGTGCCCTGGGTGAAACCGGAAATGACAGGGTCACTCTGGTTCTGATTCCCAAAATAACAAATCTGAACATTTCCCGTAAACCTGGATTCTACAATAAATACTAGGTTGTCCCCGGCCTGGGCTGTGCTACACTTCTGACCTCAGTGACCGGGATAACCGTGTGGGAAGAATGATGTTTTTCTACCAGGAACAGACTAATGTAAACTTGGTGACCTGAGGAAATTGGCTTTTTCACCAGTTTTAAGTTCTTTTTGTAGTTGGTATTCGATGAGCCATTCCTTCTTAAGTCTGAGTCCTTGCCTGCTTTGCAAGTAAATTGTTTTTCTTTCCTTTTCCCGATGCTTCTGTCTCTCGGCCTTCCTCTGAGATCAACCAGCCACTGAGCAAAGGAGGGAAAAGTGCATGGACAGCTGGTGACCCCAAATCCACATCAGTGACCCTCCTTCCAGGAAAGGTCAGAGCTGTACATTTTCTAAATGGTGTGTTTTTCCACAGAGCAGCAGCCTCTGTTGCTTCAGAGGTTGCTTACAAGGCTGCCAGCTTCTCCAAGCCCTGGGTAGTACTGGAAAACTCCTGGTTTCTCTGATTCACTAAATTCTCTAGCTAGTTCTTCTCCCGGCAGACACTAGCCAGCCTACTCACCCCAGGCCTCGGGCACCCCCAGCCACCAGCGTCTTTCCCCATGTGAAATCTGGCTCAAGGGGAGAGGAAGCCACACAGGCGGTGGGAACAGACCTGCAGCAGTGAGATGGCGATGAAGACGCCAGCCACAATGTAGATGTTCCGTGGGAGCCAGCTCTCCAGGGCCTGGATGCAGCCTTTCGTGAAGATGGACTCATCCCATTTGCTCTTCAGCTGCAGGGAAAGACAGCGCCCTGAGCCTGTGACATGCAGGCTGTCCCCACCCTGGTTCCTCAGAGGGCTCCCGCCAAGGGCAGAGCAAATCTCAGTGGGGAATGAGGGATCTTGGAGGAAGGCGCCAAGGACAGATGGACAGACAGAACTCTCCAAGAGAAGTACATCAACTGGCCTTGGCCTCTGCCCCTCCCTGGACAGTCTGCACTTTATAACCTGCCTAAGTAAAGGCTCCCTTACTGTGATCTTTAACCTTTTCTGTGAGGGTCTCCACAGATTTCAAGATCAACACACTCCACAGCCTATATCTGCAGAAAGGGGAGCAGGCTGGGAGGTGGGCGGGAAGGAAGATGTGCCTCAAAGAGAGAAACTAGGAGAAGAGGATTCAGCATCTTCTGAGTCAGCAGAGGGAAGGGAAGGGGCTTCTCAAATCGTGTGCCCTAGCCCATGGGAGACCAGTTCCAGGAAGCAGAGCCTGCATAAGTGGTCACAAGCCAGCCGGCTCTTTCTAATCCTGACCCCAAGTGGAGGCTCAGGAAGCACATAGGGATGGGCCACAGCTGGTCCCTATGCGCCCCCCACCTCCCCACACAGCAACCAGCTCCGGCCCCCCTCCCCTGTCAGCATCACTCATGAAACACTGACAGAACATTCATTCGTTAGCGGTGTTAGGGGCTGAATTATGTCCCCCTAAAATTTGTATGTTGCAGTCCTAACCCCCAAGACCTCAGAGTGTGTCTGTACTTGAAGACAGGCTTGTAAAAAAGAAGTAAATACATTAAAATGAGGTCCCTGTAGTGGGCCCTAATCCAGTATGACTGGGGTTCCCTAAGAAGAGGTCAGGACACAGAGAGGGAATCCCATTTGAGGACACAGGGAGAAGACATCATCCGGGCCAAGGAGAGAGGCTTCAGAAGGGACCAACCCTGCTGGCAACTTGATCTCAGACTTTTAACCTCCAGAACTGAGAAAATAAACCTGTTTCCACACAGCCTAAGCGCTTCATTACGGCAGCCCTAGCAACTAATACAAATGGTGACAAAATTCGTTAGCTAGAGAAGCTGATGCTGACACAGGCCCATCTCTATCAAGTGGAGCTCACTGCAGAGGGAGCTGAGGTTTCTCCAACAGGAGGGTCACATCCCCAGTGTCCACCACGAATAGCAGGGGTTGTCTGCAGGTTCCCTGAGATCCCTCTCTTTCAGACCAGCTGTCATTCACAGCAGCAGAGGCCATCAGAGCAAGCGCTGGGGGAGGCCTCACCTCTTCACATCCGAGTGGACACTCCCTGCAGCCTGAAGAAGCTCTTAGAGGACTGAGCCCCCGCCTGCCCTGTCAGCACTGTCTCCACTTGGCAGCTGGACCAAGCCATGTGCTCCTGCAGCTCCATCCTGGACCCCTAGATAACAGACGCCTCCTAGGATTCCAAGGTGCCTCTTCTCAAACATATAGCCTTTGTTCCCCCAAACTTCCATCTGACCTCTTTCCACTCATGTAGCAACTGCTAGATTTTAGGATTGTGGTTCACAAAGCTTGAAATCACAGCCATCACTGTTCTTGGGAGGGTGTGTGCATGACCACGTGTGTGCCCTCGCTTGCCTGGTTTCCAGCTTAGGAGGCACCTCTGGCTCCTTAAGTCTCCCCTGGCTTTTCCATCCAGTTTGCACTTGTGCTAAATCAGGGAGTCAGACCCTGGGGAACAGACCTGAAGAATTCAAAATTCATATGCATTGGGGCTCTCACCTGAGTCCTGACGTCATAGCCACACTGTGTGTTCACAACTTTTTGCTGTTAGAAAAACAGAAAAGATTAGTCATTTTTGTACTCTTGAGAAGCTGGTGGTAGAAAGCTCTAGAAAAGTCACAACCAAACACCAGCACCAACTCCATTACAGCACACGCCCTTCCAGCATACTACCAGCTAACCTTTCGTGCTAGGACAGGGTCAGAAAATCTTTTGTGTGAAGGACTAGACGGTAAATATTTCTGACCCACCTAAGTAGCTGCTTTTTAACTCTGCTGTTGCAGCATGAACACAGCCATTGACAATATGTAAATGAATGGGCATGGCTGTATTTCAATAAAACTTTATTTACAGACAATGAAATTTGAATTTTGCATGATTTTCACATGTCACAAAATATTCTTCTTTTGATTTATGTTCAACCACTTAAAAATGGCTGAAATCATTCTTGGCTCATAGATGATGCAAAAACCAACAGCAGGCCAGCTCTGGCACGGGGGTTGCAATCTGCCAATCCCTGTGCTAGAAGGGAAAACCTACACTTGCTGAAGAATTCAGTCACTGTGGAGTTGTCAGATGCAGGCTCTGCGGCCTCTGTTGATCTGAGCGCTTCCCGGGCTGAAGAACCTGCCCAGGGCCTGTGGCCCAGCACCAAACAGTATGACCACACTGATGGTGCAGTGTGACTGTCCCCTCGGCTCAGACCCTCTTCAGGGAAACATTCAGTGCTCCTTCAAGGGAACCCAAGGAACCTCCCTGGGCAGTCCAGTGGTTAGGATTTGGAGCTTTCACTGCCAGGTCCCAGGTTCAATTCCTGGTTGGGGAACTAAGATCCCATAAGCCATGCAGTGTAACCAAAGGAAAAACAAGAAAGGTCACCCAAGAGCTCAGTTTCTGAAACTCAAGATGTTGGTCTGCAGACCAGAGAGGAAAACCCTCTTACTGAAGAAAGAACAGTAAAAGAATTCTGTGTCACCCCAGATGGCAATGTACTCCACCATCCCAGGCTTCTGAGGATTGGGCATTTTCTCCAGAGAAAGGGACACCTGGGTTCATTACATTCATAGTATCCTGTTCAGGCTTCCTGAGTGAGAGCCCCTCCCGGCAGGGGGAAACATTGTTTTTCTCCTGATTCACCCAGCCCACTAGAGCCAGGGTGGGCTGTGTGAAAACGTTCCTGGAATTTCTACACAAAGGATTTCAGAGCTGCACGCGCCCCAGGCAAGTGGAAGGGGAGCCAGGCGCTCATTGTGTCTGCAGGAGAGAAGTGGCCAGAGCCCTCAGGGAAGCAGGAACTGCTCACTCCACCCCGGAGGGACTGTCCACAGGTGGGCCGACTTACCGCGGGGTCGGGCACGCAGCAGGAGAAGGGCACCCCACATTTCTCGCGGCTATAGCTGGCGCCACTGCAGTTGAAGTAGACATTGAGGTCCCAGTCTTCAGGGCCATACGCCCCACAGCACTGGTTCTGCAATCATACAGGCAGGAACCATCAGAGCTCCAAGCACAGGGTGGGCATCTGTCTTAGGGACATGGGATTTGATGTGCTTCCATGTACCACACAGAGAAATCAAGGCCCACCCAATGGACCTGCCATCACAGAGACGTGACCAAGATGACCCTGGGGGTCCTAAAGAAGGGAACTGTGTCCAGGGCCCAACACCCCCAGCTGGCTCAGCAGCGCCCTGGCATCAGCTCCACTCCCTCCTCGCTCTGGAACTTCCCCTTCTTCCCCAACTGCCCCCCAGCCAGCCCAGAGCAGGCTTCTGGTTCTCCTTCCTACATGGTCCTCTACTACCCCGCAAGAGAACACCTCCCGTGGTCAGTGTGCCTTCCTCCCCAAGAAAAGGCCAAGCTGACCCCAGTCACCTTTTGTGTCTTTACAGAAAACAGCTGCTGAACGCCTACTCCCAAGGAAAGAGTTACAACTGGGGTGAGTGGTAACGCAATCAAAGCTTTGCCCCTGACCCAGGATCTCTGTCCTCCCTTCCCACAATCCCTCTCTATCTGGTGAAGCAGCAAAGAAAACCTCCCTTTGTCTAAAAACTCATAAAACCAAATGCACTGAGAGCAGCTCTGTGACATCAGCAATGTCCCAACCAGATGTTTTTGCACTTGTCCTTAAAGCTGACATAGTTACAGCCCTAATTACAAGTCTACAACCAGGATTTCTGCTTCACTTTCATTTCTGAGATAAAAGCCCATCTTTCCCCCACAACCACCCTCCACAGTTCCAGGTGCTCTAACGAATATCCAGTATTTCACCATGAGAAAAAGAAAGCTCCATCATTTACTGACTACCTCTGAAGAAAGGTTTTTTGTTTTTTTTTTTTTTAAGGAGAGGAAGGCAGTGGAGAAAACTAGTGTCTTTAAGGCCAGTGCAGAGATCCAGGATCCTTGACACCAGCAAGCCCCAGGCTATATGGAATTGAAGAGCCTTGAATAGAAAAGGAAAAGCCGCAGCAGGCAGTGGTGTCAGGAGAGGGTGGGGTGACGACTTTCACAGATGGACGCGGGTCTCTACCAACAACACAGGAAGGATCTCTGATCACATAAATGGGTTTTGCTGGATCGAGCCCAGGATACGTGAAACACGGGGCAAACAAGTTCTGGTTAATAAGGAGAACAGATTACAGTTATTTTTGATGCTCTCTATTTTCTTCTCAGAACCAAAAGGTTCCCTATAAAAAGTTTTTGAGGAAGCTAGGCTTTCTGGCAGAGCAGAGATCAAACAACAGCCTTGCAGAGGCCGGCATGGTGGGGAGTGGGTTTCTCCTGGGGGAAGGGGGGCAAGGGATGGGGGACAGCTGCGGTCCCAGCCTCCAGGTGCAGCCACACACAACGGGGATGGAGGTCAGACGGAGAAAAGGTCACCGCCTGGGACTGCTTAGACTAACCTCCGGGGACATATTCCAGGGAGGTTACATTCCTCTTGGTCTGAAGAAGTTTGCTCCAGGCGGCTCTGTCCTCTCAAACAGGAAGGGGAAAAGGTCCCGGGAAGGAAAGGGACAGGAATAGCCTCAGACAGCGAGTGATGTGCCCAGCTCTGCCCCTCAGTGCCCACAGGGCCCAGGGACGGTGGCTGTCTGGGTGGTCCAGCCCCGAGGGAGTGGGGTTGGTCATGAGTGAAGCTAGACTGCACGAGTGAAGCTAGACTGCCTGCCTGAAGCACCTGGGGGACAGCACCCTGAGAGCAAGCCTGGCCCGTCAGCACACAGGCATGGACAAAGCTAACCTGTCCAGAGGCAGGGGTGGCACCGTCCCAGCCTCCCTGCCGAGGGCAGAGCTGAGCGGGGAGGGTCCCATGTTCCCCACCGGCCTGGGCCCCCAGCCGCGCACAGAGACTGAAGCCAGGACAGTTAAGCTCTCTTAGGGAGAAGGCAGGCATGGTACTTACGGCTTTCTGAAGGGAGTCGATGAGGTTCTGCAGGTCAATGTCGTCCCGGTAGGATCTGATGTTGCTCTCGAAGAACTCCCGGAACCGGTCCCTCACCCAGTCCTGGAACAGGAAGGCCAGCACGGCCACAGCCAGCTCCAGGAAAAAGATGAGCACGATAGTGCTGCAGAACTGCAGGGGGGACACACAGGGAGTGGGCATCACCGCACCTCAGCCTCCCGGCCAGACCACACCCCCACCTGACCCAGAACCTCTGCCTCCCACTAAAAGCACGGGCCTGGCAGCCAAGAGACCCGCGCTGGAGCTGGGGAATCCCACGTGATGGGCCCTGGTACCCTGCTCACATCGCTGCATTGTTGGTTAGAGTCAGATGAGTGAAAGAACAAGCACGCTCCAAGACAATGGGCCAACCATCTCCTATGAAGGAGCGCCCCCTCCAACAAGGAAACACCCCCACAGGAATGAATGGCTATCCTGGCCCACCAGGCTGTCAGCTCCTTTAGCGTAGAGACTGTGCCCCAGACACCCTATCTGACCTCTCTCCTCGCACCTACAACCATCGCACTTGCTAAAAACCTGTCACTCCTACTTTAGGGATAAGGAAACTGAGGTTCACTCAGGTCACATACCTGAGACGCAGGACATCTGAGTTCCCTGGCAGGGCTCTTGACAACTCTGGAGTTGCTAATGTTATCAGTACCTACTCTGTGTGCATATGATAGTCAATTGCATTAAAATATCTGCAGGGCACAGGCACCACTGGGGTGGAGTTCTGTAAAGGCCACTGCAGCCACAGGTCCACACCCCTCGATCAAGGCAGGGTTCCGGCCTGCGGAGCTCATGTTATCACAGCCACTAGCACGGGCCACACCACACACTAAGCATCTATGCCACAGCCAGCAGTATCTCAAAATAAGATACACACACACATATACAAACATATATACACACAAGGCCCCCCAGAATGTAATCTCCATTCACAGAGAAGCAAGATAACCAAACAAAATTGAAAAGCAGGGGGGAAAAAAAAAAAAAACCACGTGTTTTCCTTTTAAAATTAAGCCCAGAAAAAAAGGCTTGGTCTAATAAATTCAACAAATAATATATTGCAAAACATGATTATGTGTTTCCCCCACCAGGTGCTATTTAATTTCAGCTGAATGCATTTCAAAATGAATGTGTATCTAAATATAAAACTAACTCTTAGTAACTCAAAGTTCTGCCATAAAATCAAGGATTCTGCACTGTATATCCAACAGATTCATACCCCCTGGAGGAGGCAAAAGATTTCCTAACATTATTGACATCTTCTGATGTTAACCAGGAAGGGCAAAGGTGATTAGCAAACAAACAACTGGAACTGTAGGGGGGAGATAAAAGGTGAGGGAGGCACAGGTGACTCTGCCCACTAGGAGCTGAAAACCAGAAGGCTCAACGTCTCCCCCGCTGAGGACCTACTTCATCTCATTGTCTCCAGAAACCTTACCTTTTTCAGTGGGCAGCAGGGTACAGAGGGCTGCCTCCTCCCCTCACTGCTGGATCCTGGGGCAGGCTTATAAGAGTGGCTACCTCGCCCCACCCACTCCAGCATGTAAGGGCTAAGCCTGTCCTACAGAGCCCACAGCCCTACCTCCCCTACCATACTTCCTCCCACCCCCACGTCCGGGCCACTCACAAAGTTGAGCAGGCAGATATTCTCCCGCAGGGCCCCCACACAGCCAGCGAAGCCCAGGGTGAACATCACCACGCCCACCATCAGCACCAGCACCACTGGGTCAATTCCATGCATCCGGGTCACTTTGGTGAGGTCGGAGAGCACCCCCTGAAAGAGGCAGAGAAAGCACGGTAACATCAGCCTTGAAGAGTCGAGGGTGCCCTGGAGGGGGCTGATCTGCAACTAAATGAGGACAGGGACCTGCCTTCTGGGGCTCAATCTTCTCATTAAATGCCAGGCCAGAGCATGGCCCCTGCCCAGCTGCCCTCTTAGAGGCCCAGCAGATCTTTGCCTCCCTCAGCTCCCAGTTGCCCTCCCGCTCCCACATCTAGGCTGTCAGTTCCTCACAGCAGACCCCACGCTTCTTTTGTAGCCTGTAGGATATTGATGGGGTGAAAAGGAGCCCTGAGGGACCCTGTGGTCAAGGCACCCAAAGGCCCTGGCCTTTGGTCATCTGGCGGCTGACTCTGCATGCTCTTCATGGAGAACGCCATTATCTTGAGATAAAAACAGTGTCAACACGAACAGGCTTGCGAACAGCACATGCACCAAGGACAGTTGAAGATGGCACTGTCCACTGACTTTTTGTGATGATGCAGATGTCCTATATATATCTGCGCTGTTCAAAATGGCAGCGACTGGCCACACATACTATTATTGAGCACTTTAAATGAGGCCTAGTGGAACTGAAGAAGTGAATTTTAATTTGTGTTTCATTTTAATTAATTTAGATATAATCAGTCACATCTGGCTAATGGCAATCGGAATGGACAGAGCAGCTCTACAGGATTCAAAGGAGGAAGAAGCAAACAGCAGCTAGGCCAGACACCCAGCGGGAACCGGGCAGCCAGGGTCACCAGGCCTAGGCTCCGGGTCTGATTGGCTAAGATGCTGCTGCTCCGTCTGGTCACACGGTGGCGCTATGAGTCATGGTTTGCACCAGCTTCTTGGTCACTAGGGCAAAGGGACATTGCACTGCAAGCACTTAAAGGGACCCAAACCTAAAGGTAGACCTTATCCAGTTCCCAAGGCCATGGCAACCAAGCCCACAGACCTAAGTGCTCCTGCCTCCTTCTGGAAGCAAAGAGAGGCTCCACTGAAGGAACAGAGGCCCCTGGGCCTTAGGCTTAAGAGAAAGCTTTAGCTCTCACTGTTTCCTGCCTGACCTCTCCACCTCCCGAATACCCACCGACTCACAGTGCAAAAGGTACACCAAAGGTCCACTCTGCTCACATCCGGTCTAGTCCCCTCCTTGGAGTCCCAAATGCCCCTTGTCCTCCCCTGTCCTCCAAAGGCTGGGCGATGAGGTTCAGGGGTGCTAAAGGTGTGTCCCTGCAGCACAGGGCACCCAGGGGGCACAACCCAGAGCCTAACTCCCTGACTCGGGTCCTATCCGTGGGCGAGAATGAGAGCTTCAGGAATCAGATCTGTGTTCAGGGAGCTGCCAGCTCCAGAGGCACAGTTAGAGTCCACTCCAGAAGTAGCCCCAGGCCTGCCCTGGACACAGCCATGGACACGCCCCGGGATGACTCGGGGCTTCTGGAAACAGAAGAGACAGCTCTCCATGCTCATGGGGCTCAAAATCCCAACTGGCCCAGCCTTGGCCTCTAGCAGTGACCCTGCCACAGGGAAGCCAGGCTAGCCAGGAGTTTTCATCACAAGTTAAGTAACTTCTAAGAACCGGCTCTGTAAAGGTTAATGACCACAAACCATTGCCCTGCACAGGAGGAGCTCTTTGGGGAGGAGTTTGGAGGAAAGGACAATTAAAGCTGAATGAACCTGGTGGACTACCGCTCAGGGTTCCAGTGACAGTCACACCTACCTTCTCGCTCCACGCCCATAGTCCAACTCCGAGGAAGACAACTCCAGCCAACTGAGCAGGGGCAGGGGAAAGAGAGAGAGAGAAAGTCAGGTCAGAAACCAGCTCCATGAACATGCTTCTCAGAGGAGGGGCCGGACTGCTGGTGTCAGAGGGGCTTCCTGGCTCATGTCCACGCTGGGCAGAGCAAGGCGGCCCCTTGGTCCCTGCAGATGACAGGGACTCCAGCAGAACGGTGGGACAGTGAGGCTCTTTAGGTAACTCACACCTGTTTTCCCTGACTGCTGGGACAAAGTTCTTCAACCCCAGCTGGCCCCATGCTTGGGAGAGCAGAGACAAAGATCTCGGAACAGTACCTGACCAGGAGAGACTCTGCTTCTGCCACGCCCTGCTTCTCTTCCCTTCCACAAGCCCCCTACTCACTTTAATGCACTGTCTGGTGCGCAAGAGGACATCAGCCCTTGTGATGCCTTCAAGGGCTCCCAGTACAGGTACGGCTCTGCACAGGACTGCCACCCTCCTTGCGTCTCCAGCCCTGGAGACACACTCCAAGCACAGACAAGCAGCTGCCAGGCTGAGCTTCCTCCCCTACCGTACTTACACTTCACGTGGCGGGACACACCTGCGCTCAGGGAACGCTGGGTTATGTTACTGAATTAAGAGGCCTGCACTGAGCCATGTGCTAACCCCAGAACCGTGTCCCCCAACCCTGACCTCTCATCCACAGGAGCCCACTGGCGCCAAGGTGCCCCACATGCCCCATGACAAAAACAGACCCCCCATGTACACCCCACAGCTTGCTACACCAGGAAGGGTTTTTCCAGAGCAAACACCTCCTGGCCTCAGAAATTAAGCAGCCCCCTGTTGTTCTGCTTAACTACCTTATATTCTGCTGGCATTTCACTGCCATTTATCAGGACCTGGTGATAAACAACAGGGCAAGGTTCTCTGTGACTGCAAGTTTCCCAAGTGTGTTCTCCAGCTTCAGGACCTTCCTGCCCACTGCAAGCCCTAGAAGGCCGGACTTGGAAGAAAGGCTTTCGGAGAAAGCCCGGGAGTTCCCAACCTCTTCGGGATCACAGGCCACTTTCAGAAAATGTGCACATGCCCCATATTTTGGAGGGAATTTCAGAGGGTTCACAGACTCCTTATTGCAGGTTCCCACAGCAGTCTGTGGACTTCAAGTGAAAAAGTCCTGCCAAGACCTGATCCGCTCGCCCCCAGCCCCCCAAGTTGACTAAGTACCACAGGGGCTGAGAAGGCCAGGGCGAGAACTCTGAACCCAAGTCCCCCTGAAACCAAGTTCCCTGACAAGTTGATGATTAATCTCTCTATCCACAGCTTCATTCCCTTTCTTGTCCCGACCCTGTTCTCCTAGAGATTAAGGAATATCAAAGAAAAGGGGAGGCTGAAACCGAGCAGAACCCTGAGGGACCTTGCTGGGAACAAGCCCCTCCGTGGCCCCTGCTTCTTGCTGGCCTCCCCTCCCCCTGCCTGTTCCAAAGAGCAGACTCAAGCAGTTAATGATTAGAATAATGACACAGGAGTCACAGGACTCCGGATTCCTCCGGAAGGGATTTAAATAACAATCTGCCACCATCTTTAAGTTGTTCTGCAGAAATAAAACCACAAGAAGTGTAGACCCCAGGCTGGTTGGAACCAGAAGGCTGATGATTCAGATTCCTGAAACATTACCTGTTACCTCAACACTAACCAATCAGAAGAAAGTCCACCAGCTAACCACATACCCTGTGGCCCTCACTACTAACATCTGCCTTTAAAAACACTTGTCTGAAAGCCTTCAGGGAGTTGGGGTCTTTTGAGCACGAGTTGCCCATTCTCCTTACTGGGCATTCTGCAATAAACCTTGTACTTCCCTTCACCATAACCTTGTGTCAAGTAACTGGCTTTGCTGCAAGTTGGGCAAGTGAACCCAAGTTCAGGTCAGTAACAATTCAGCAAGCAGTGAGGGAGAAGACCCAGATCCTAAGTCTCAGTTTAGTTCATTCATTTACTCACTCATTCATTCAATGGACATTGAGCAAATGCTAGGTACCATCTCAAGCACTGGAGACAGCACTGCACCACGTGGTCAAAGATCCCTCTGCTGCTGGAACTTGGGTGCCATGGAGCTAACATGAGATTCTTTCCACCACATCACACCGATCCCCCACTTTTCAGTCCTCCCATTAGATTAGCCAGCTGATAAAGGGTTTCATTTTCCTTGATGGGGTGCATGACCTTCCATTCCTGAGTGTCTGACACTGTGTGGTAAGCAAGCTGGAAGGTGACCAGTTGCTCTCTGTTGAATCCTATAGACATTCCTCCCCACCATTCCTCACAGTCTCTGATGATTCACTTCCCTCTTTCCAAGCTGGGAGGTCAGGTCTTTTGCCTTAGCTTATCCACCCTCATCCACCACAGTAGTCATTCCCTCCTCCACTGAGGCACTCAGCCTTGGGGACATGAAGGATACACACATGGCTGTCTTCCATTCTCCCTGTCACTCCGCCTCAGTCTCTTGAGGGCTTACCCTCCTCTTTCAGAGCCCTCTAAATGCTGGAGAACCTCACTGCTTAGTCCTGACCCCTGCCCTCCCCTAACCTTCTGGATCATGTCATAACTCACACAGCTGACGCACAAATCCCAGCCTCCAGCCACAGCTGATCCCGAGTCAAACACCCCAATGTCTATTTGACCTGTCCTCTGAATACGACCAGCAACATTTCAATCTTCACACGCCCCCAAAGGGAGCTGTGGTCTCCCAACTCCCCCGTTCTCACTAAATGGCACCACTGACCATCTACTCTTAAGACAGAAAACCTAGACCTCAGGCTTGACTGCTCTATCCCTCAACTCCACATCCAACCTACTAAGACCTACTATTAGTCCTACCTTCAAAATACATAGAGAACCCTCTCTGCTCCCACCTGTCCATGCCATTACCCCTGCAGGGGCCTCCCTACTGTCTCCCCACAGGTCCTGAGTAACTAGAACAATCTTTTAACAACATATATCAGATCACCCACCTCCTCAAAATGCTCCGATGACTTCCTTTTACACTTAGAATAGGATTCAAACTCCTTGCTGTGGCTCACAAGGGCCTGGGTAGCCAGGCTGTAGCCCACATCTCCAACATTTATCTCCAACCCAGCTCCCCGGCCCCAGTCCCACCCACCCACCCACCCCCGATCCCTGACATCTCTGCTGAATCCTACAGACATCCCTCCGTACCACTGTGACTGTTTCTTGAACTCACTTACCTCATCCCTGCCTCAGAACTTTGATTCGATCCCTTAGCCTAGAATGTTCCTCCTCCACATCCCTTCCTGGCTTCCTCCTCACTCCACTCCGGTCTCTCCAAATTTCACCTTCTCAAACACACCTGTTTGCCATCCTGTGCAGACTATCTCCGCACGCATCAGTCCTGACCTCCCTCCCCTGCTAGATCTTCTTCATGGTACTCATCCTAGACCACGAGAGCTGTCTACTGTGTCTCCTCCTCTGCCCTCTGAGGGCAGAGATGTTTTCTATTTTGTTTAGGGTTGCCTGACCACTTTCCAGGACAGCCCACCCACCACCAGGTACCACATGGGATGGTGAGGGAAGTCTGCCCCCTGCAACCCTCTCACTGAACACAGTCAGCTTGAGACACCAGCTCCGCACCACCACAGCCCAGTTCTCCTTCTCTCAAAACAATGGGGCTCCAAGAATAAGAGCTCGTGTTTTTTTTTCCATTCTGTTTCAAAGGAAGAACTAAAGTTAACTTGCAGCAGAAAGACAGGAACTGAGGTGGGGGGGTGGGGATGGGGGGGTGTCACATGCCAGATTATGGGTTCAATGAACACTGGCCCAAGGCAGGAACTTCAAGGACCAACAATTGTTTGAGAGGAAAGAAGGCTGAAGGAGGACCAGACAGGGGAAGTGACCTGTCTGGGAGCTCACACAGCAACCTCTTGAATGAGCCAGGACTCTGGCCAGCTTGGCATGGCTCCCTGTGGAGCCCCTTCCCTGCCCCCCACCCTCTCCAGGACAGATGGGCTGTGTAGTTGGGCTGTCCTCTTGGCTGCCAACCATCTGGGAGTGCCTTCCAGCCTCAGAGTAACCTTTGTTTCTCATGTATGACCTGATTAAATTCCTTCTCAAAGAATGGAATCCAATTCCCGCCAAGCCCACAGAGGCCAGCCTTGGACCATCAGGTTCGCACGCCATGGTGGTCACCAGGGCAAGTAGCACCACCCTCTCCTAGGTAACTAGTGCTACGTTAAACACAATACACCTAAAGAGGCCCTCCACACCCCACAACACTGGTACTGTTACCCCCGTTTTTCAAATGGCAAAATTCAGATGTAGGATGACTTGGTTATTGCCTAAACTCACACAGCGAGCTGGTGGAGAAGTCAAGAAACAAACCTGCGTGTCTCTGACTGTCCTAACATCACGTTATCTCACTGCACAGGGCGGCCTCGAATAGTGGGCACCAGCATACGCCCTCCACCACAAGGGGCAGTCACAGTGCCCGGTGGCGTGGGAGGCTGCAGAAGGGGCTTCTAGGCTGTGCAACAGTAAAGCCAATGGAGGATCACTCTGTGTCCAGTCAGGGCCCCTGTGGGGGTCACTGTGAAGATTCAGGAGTGACCTGAGGCAAAGGCCCCCTGTGTAAGAAGGCGAGAGGTTTCCTCCGGGGCATTCTGGGCTGGTCCAGCCCTGCTTTGTTCTGGAAGCCCACATGGAGTCAACTTGCTAAAGTGAGCAAGCCTTTACCCAGCAGGTTCCAGACATAACGGAGCTGTAGACACCTGGCTAGGTTCCGCCAGACCGGAGGAGGATTCCAACACCAAGCAGGCTGAAAGCAGCCCCTCATCACCCACAATTTAGTGGCCCTGGTCTCTTGCAAGATTTCATTTCAGTGTGAAAGTGCTCAGGCAATTCCTGCAGACCCCAGAGCCTTTCCTCCACAGGATCAAGACAAACCACCAGCAGCCGTTAAATGCTTTCGGGCTGCTGGCCTGCTGGCCCCTGACTCTTGTAGATTCCTTTAGCTGAGGCAGGCT